CCCCAAAACCCCAAAACCCCAAAACCCCAAAACCCCTATTTACGCAATATTTTTGAAACAATAAAAATGGAGGATTATTTAGATCTAAGTATGAACGAAGCAGAACAAATGCCTATTATTGTTGACCCAAGCGAGGAAGTTCAAGATTTACAAAGACAAATTTATAAATAAATACGGAATTTATTTGAAATATGAATGGCTAGAGATCCAGCTGAGGGGGAAAGTAAGTTAGTTTTAAAATTAAAGTTCTCTCAATATAGCTTTGTTTGAGTAAAATTCTTGTTTATTCATACACATAGCACCCATCATCATGAATGAAGTATGTCCTAAAGAAAATCTCTGAAGAAAAGCTGAGTAATATTATTGATGTAAGTGGACAGTCAAAATTCTTTCTACAGATGTTCTATTACTATTTTCACAGTCTAAGAACATTGACTAATCATTCACTAACAATATTTAGGAATCTAAACGAATTCTGACTGCGGAAGTATGTAAACTATCAGCTCCAAACCAGGTCTTCAAGCAGAATGTAATGGTGGAGATCATGAAAGCTAAGAATATAGGAGGACCAGATGATGTCGCTCCTGATCTGTAAGTTTTACGCATTTTTAACAATCTCTCCAAAATCATCCACAATTTGCAGACTAACCAGTTATCTAGAGAAGATAGTGACGAAGAAACAAGTAAGTCAGCCAGCTTAAAGATTAGAAGATACTGTCGAGGAACAAAAGATTGAGAATATTGAATCTAGATATCTTGATGCTGGAGATGAAAACCAAAGCAAGAAGAAATCTCAAAAATATCGGTACTACATTGCCTAAGTCTAGAATCTATAAGTTCTTACTAACAGATGGAAAGAACAAAGTGGTTGGATTTGAACAGAATTTTGTAAAGAAAATCCCAAACGATATAAAATCTGGGACCAAAATCATAATCGGGCCTGAATTTGAGGTTCGAATGGGTCATATTTTACTCAGAAACGAGAACACAGTGTTATTTTGCCCTTAAAAATTTCAGTATCTTTTAGAAATTCCGGGGTTTTGGGGTTTTGGGGTTTTGGGGTTTTGGGG